TAATTCAGAAACATGCATTTTTCCCAAAATCTCCTTTCCTTTCCTTCCATTAAATAAATCCATTTCCTAAAAAATTTCCAATTTCCACCCAAAATGCAAATCCTCTCCACCAAATAGATGAGACTACACACATAATTTTTCCTTCTTATTTTTTTAACCTTTCTCTCTCTTCGAGCCAAAAAAACGAGGCAAAAATCTAATCTTCGTGTCGTGCCATGCAGTCTGCCTTTCACTCTTTCCTAAGTATCCATACATAGCTATGTTACATCGTTTTTGGGCTTGTGGATGGGCCTGGATGTGGATTAGGCTGGGCGAGATATAGATTAAGTACGTAGCGTTGAGAACATTTATCATCAGCCCCAAAGGGCCCAACTTTTGATAGGAGACACTTCAATCCAATCCACTCTCTCCACTTGCGCCGATCTCTCTCTCTCTTGTTCCAACTCCATACCCAAGCATAGGATACGATAGGACGGAAAATAAGTCGGAGAAAACGTCCTCATTCTCATCTCATCTCAAATTCGATTCAATCCAATCCACATTTTCATACGTTACGTAATGTCCTCTCTCCTCCCCCTAAATAAGGATCCGTGCTGTAGACGAGAGAATTATGTAATACCGTAAAAATATTCGGATTATGGCCCGGGCTAAAATCCGTAGTTTTGTGTAAAGTTAATTTTTGGTACTACTTTTTTGGTTAAAATTTGTCCATTCATTTGCCATTTTCCAAAATATTTAAATTTCCCCAAAAATGAATCTGCAATTTGTTTTTTTAATTTCAATAGTTTTGTATTATAAAAAATACTTAACTTTACATTAAACTATGAAAAGTTATATTAATCTGAAACTCGTGAAATTCACGTCATTTTAGAAATTTACATTTATTTAAAGACTTTATTTGACTTGGGGTAGAGTGAGATTAAAAATGTATAACCGAATGTTAAAATTCCAGTTAAATTTTAAAATCAAGGAGACAGCAATAGGGCTACAAATCCGAAATTTACGGTACTGCTTTCTCACCCTCTCTCTCCTTCCCATTATCATTACCAACATACGAAAGGGATGATTCTCTTCTTCTGGATCGGGTTAACTTTTGGGGTCTGTCAATTCACAATTTTCGAATCCAGTTTCACTCTTAATTTCTGACTTTTTTTTTAAAATTCACCCCACACCAAAAAGAAAGACAATGATGCTCCACGAACGAGTGACAATGTCACCTCACTCTTGCTACAGAATTCCACCCCTTGTATTACCAACTTATCCTGCTCTTTGTGCCTCTCCCGTCCACCCGATTTATTTTTTTTTCTAAAGAAACTTATTCTCTTATATATTTCCACGTTTTTGACCCTATCACATTCTCACATAATTTGTCCACTTTTCTCAGCAGGCTTGTCACCCCGTTTGGGGAATTGTGTTCCCCAAAATGAATGGGATGACCAGACCACCCAACGACGACCAAGAATGTCAAACAGTGAACAAGTCATGACCGGACTTTCCCCTTCTTCAAGCGTCCGGCTCCTTCTTTTCGCATACTTTTCACGTCCGAGGTCATATTTCATACAGAAAATTTGTTGTAAAAACTTCAACAAGCTGAAAAAAGAGACGTTTTTTTAAGATGAAATGTGCCCAAATATTGCTCTAGTATTTTGACTCCTTGGATTTCCAGGGCTGTTAAAGAACCGAATCTACACCTGGAAGACTACAGTCTTACCAAAATACACAAGATACATTTTTAAATGTTTTTTTTTATACAAAAATAGAATATTTTGACGCATGAGTAATTAATTATTACGAGAAAACATGCACTTTGAGCTTAGTTTTTCCCAGGATTTGGATTTCCGGGGGTGTTACACCTACAAAAAGGCGAAAATCTACATCGAGAATACAACAGTTTTACGAAAATAGGAGGTTTTTGAAGAAATTAACCTTTTTCACAGTCGCGTACGCACAAGTTTTCAAAATTGTAAGAATTTTACACCGAAAAATAAAATTATGCCGAGGTTTAATTATGTAAAAGGATAGATATAAAATGCTCAGATTCGGTTGTTTTAGTGTCCAATCCTTGCATTTTTAAATTTGTGCGTACGCGACTGCGACAAAAGTTAATTTCTTTATAAAACCCGTATTTTCGGCCTTCTCCACGTAGATTTTCGCTTTTTTGTGGGTGTAACACCCCCGGAAATCCAAACCTTGCGAAGAACTAAGCTCAAAATACATGTTTTCCCAAAAACTTAATTTTGCATGCATCAAAATATTTCATTTTTAAAAGAATTCTGAAAAAAATGTATTTTGACATCGACAAAAACTTAATTTCTTTACAAAACCTCTATTTTCAGACTGAGTTCTACCTTCTCCACGTAGATTTTTAATCTTTTTATGGATTTAACATCCCCCGGAACCCAAACCTTGTTAAAAATTAACCTCAAAATACAAATTCCCTGCCAAATTGAACCCTTTCTCCCTTTTTAAATACTCAATTCTCAAAAATTAAAACTATCCCACCTCCTTTCTCCAAGAGAAAGTAGTCCAACTTTTCTCACCATGCCCCTCACACCCACTCTCCCATTTCCTCTCTCTCTCTTTCTCTCTCTCAGTTTCCACCAGCTCGTTAAAAATCCAGAAAGTTGCCCATTCTCCATTACGCCGAATTACCATAGGATAGGATGCAAGCAATCTCCTCTTTCTCACTTAAAGGAGTAAAAGTAAGCACAGTCAAGAATTTCCTTCCTAAAACGCTCCCCACCATCAAGATCAACTATTGAGCAATTGAACCTCTTATCCCACACTTTTAGTTGCTCTTTCTCTCTCCTTTCTCCAGACCAGAAGAGAGAAAAAATTGAGAATTCCATCCAGCAGCAGAGAGAGAAGAGAAAAGAGAGACGTCTGTCCTGTCCTCCTCCTTTATTTTTGTGGGGCCTCCTCTGGGACCTGAGCCCATTTTAGGACTCAACCACCGCACCGTCTGCTCCAGAGTGTTGCATTATGTTCCCGAATTTCGTATGATAATCAGGTCCAGATAGATACAAAATTCAAATGATGTCGTGTCATCCGTTCCGTAGCCGAATTTCGGCTACGCGTCACCCACCCACCAAAGAAGAATGTATAGACATAGTTACAAAACTTTGGAATTAAAGTTCAAAATTATGAGAAATTTTTAACGGATACAAATTTGAGTGGGCAAAGCAGAATATGTTTATAAATTTTTAATTTATATTTATTTTATATTTTTTTAATGTGTTTTCATCGACGAAGCAAATCCGAATGGTATCTATTACCTTTTAAGCAATTCAAATTCATCACAATTTTATTTTTCGGTGTCGAATCCTTACAATTTCTGAAAACTTGTGCGATAAAAGTGGATTTTGTTAGTCAAGAAAGGTCAAATGATTAATGTCATGTCATCCGTATTTCCGGTGCTTGTCCCATGGTCACAATAAAATTCTGACCCTAATTATTACCCCACATTTCTACCCGTTGCAAGTACAAAATTCCACCCGTCATCCCAATTTTACTCACATTTATTTTCCCACTTGCCACCCACAAAAAAGTGGACATGGTTACAAAAAAATTATGCTAGACACCACGATTGCTTGACTTTTAGTGCCTAGTTACCCTTAACGGTTACGACAAATGGTCGAGTTAAAAATAAAATAATTATTTTTAAAATCTTTGGTTCTTCTCCCATAGGCGACAGAACCAACTACTTTGACCTTTAATGACTTTTGAACGGGCAGACATAGAGACTTAATTCTTTAGGATGAAATCATCCTAATTTTTAGCTTGATTTTTTAAGCTGAAAATCTCGAGGGTACTATTTCGAATAGTAAACTTGAAATCTCCAGCCTTTATGTAGCCCGAGTCAGACTGCGGTTATTGGTCAAACCAAACATTTTCAATGAAATTTTATTGTACCAAATGCATTTAAACTTGTGGGGTGCATATTTTTTTAAAATCTGTTCAGCCATTTTGTCTATCGTGTTCCGGAAGGACATATGGTTCGATAAGAACTGACTGAGGCTAAAAAGAAAGCAACTTTGTGGGGCCTTTTAAGATTGCATTATTCACTGATTCTAAGAGCAGGACTCGTAACGAACATGTGCATATATTTTATTTTTGGCATAAACCATTACAAAACACGAACTTAATAAACTCTGAAATTTTTTCCTATTTTAATTCATATTGTTACATTAGGAGCCATTACCAACTTTTCTATCAAATTTCTGCTCGATATGACGAATTTGAAAAATTGGTATGGGTCATCCCATAGGGTCTGAAAATACTTTCAATTCATACTCTTCCATTAGTAGCCTTCCTTAGCAATCCCCACAAATATTTCAGCTCTATTGGATGAGTTTTAGATATCGGTATGGGTCACCCCCTAGGGTCCATCCAGATAAAAATTTTTACAATTTTACTTTAAAGTATTTCAGTAGAAACCATTATCGACCTCTGTACCGAATTTCACCTTTCTACGACGATTTTGCAATTTCTATACATAATACCCGACAAACTTATATGACCCCCACCGGTCAACCACTTGTTTCGCTTATCTTTGAACTTAACTCCTCATTTGACCCATACTGCATGCGTGCAAAATTTCAACTCAATCGGATTAGTTTTATAACAGTTATCGCAAGACGGACAGACGGACGTGACGAGTACATAAGCCCTGACTCGGGCTGCACACTGGAGATTTTAAGTTTACTATTCGAAATAGTACCTTCTAGATTTTCAGCTTAAAAAATCAAGCTAAAAATTACGATGATTTCATCCTAAATAATTAAGTCTCTATGTCTGCCCATTCAAAAGTTATTAAGGGTCAAAGTAGTTGGAGACTCAAACGCCGTTTTTGAACCAACGATTTAAAAATGAATGTTTTATTTGTAACTCGACCATTTGTCGCAACCGTTAAGGGAGACGCGTTACCTAGATACTTAAGGTCAAGCAATCGTGGCTAGACACAAAATAACAAACAAATTTCTGAAAGTGTCTGGCGCAAAAAAAATCCCGACAAAAAATCCCATCATCATCATCATCTCGTGGTCAACCGACCCTATTCCATTTAGCTGACCACACGTTCAGTCAAAGTCAAAGTCCAACTCCACTAAACCACCCCATCGATATATTTACCACCCACCCCCTCCCCCCCAAAAAAGCAGTACGATGTCCGCCCCCGTGAGGATCGCACAAACCCACAAACTCCTCGGCATGGCGGAAACATTGAGTAAAACGACGCACTTCAACACCGAAGAGGTACTAACTAACTACCAATTACGCAAAAATTACCACGTGTTTTACAATAAATTTTTCCACGTGTTTTTTTTCCTTACAGTGTCGCTTGCTCGTCTTATTCCACCAAAAACTCGTCTCCTGCAACGGACCCTTGGATCGTCTCAGGTTTCGGGACGTGCTCCACGTCACCTTCGACATCACGGACGACATCATGCTCGACCTTTGCTACAAAGCTTTTGACCGAGATAATGACGGCGTGGTAAGGACCGACGGTGGGTCACCGCATTTGCATAATGTCACCATCCCCGGGATTTTTGAATAAACTCGGTAATGCGTCAAAATATGCAAATGAGGTGACACCGGCGTGGTAAACACGTGGAATTTTTCCGTTGGGTCACCTCATTTGCATAAATTTCACCATCCCCATTTTCCGCCATATGGGGCTTCCACGTTGAGTAAAATGCTTCAAAATATGCAAATGAGTTGACACGCCGGAATATTCCACTACATACACATGTGCAAATAATATTTGCAACAAAATTCGCACTGTTTCCCCCAGGTTGACGATGCTGAATGGACGAGAGGCTTGTCGGCCATGATTCGTGGGAGTTTGGAGGAGCTGGTTGAATTTGTGTATTTTGTGTACGACATGAACGGCGATCGCTCCTTGGCCAGGGAAGAGTTGTACCATTGTCTCAGGGGATGCATGTAAGTTGGAAAATCGTGTCTTTTGCAAATTTCACACTAATTTGCCATCGGTTAACACTAATTTGCTAAAAATCGAAGAGAATACGCTGAGAGACCTCAATTGAGAGTATTTTCGGCAAAATTTGCATTTTTAATTTAAACTTCTCCAGGCACCCGGGCTACGGTATCGACGCGGACGAGTTGGAAGAGTGCGAGAGAGAAATTGTGGAAATCGCGATGAAAAAGTTGGACGTGGATCGAGGTATTCAGCAAAATTTTTCAAAATTTATCAAAATTATCACAATTTGCATAATAATTCACCAAAAAATCACCCCAAATTTCAGACGGTCAAATAACCTTCCCAGACTTTCAGAATGCCGTGATTACTGATCCCCTCCTCCTTCAGGCGTGCGGACCGTGTCTTCCATCTCCTAAATCTACGGTTCGTTTTTTTATTTTGAAATTCCCATCAAAATTCCCATCAAAATTCCCCCTAAAAATTCCTCCTCCTCCTTTTAGGCCTCCTTCCTAGCCCTGATCACGCTCAAGTACCGGTCCTACACGGGGGTCTGGGCCGTCCAGTGGAACCAAGCCGTTGAAGGGCACCACTCCAAGAGGAAGAGTCACGTGGCGCGGGCGCGGTCGCACTCCTTCATTCGCTCCAGCATCTCCACCGCGTCCACGCTCGCCAGCCTCGCGCAGAGCAAGATGGCCATGAAGGGCGGCGGAGGAGCGTCATCACCGCTGACCATTAAGGATGCCGCCGCCGCGAAACCATGATTTTTAATACTTTTTTCGCGAATTTTTTTGTAAAAAATGGACACAAATCCGAGTAACCTTTGTGTAAAAGTTATGTTATTTTATGTACTCGTGTGTATGGTTGAATGCAGTAAAGGTGATGTCAATGATAAATATGTGGTTATCGTGTCATTCTTTATTCAATTTGAGGGCGGAGGAGGGCATTCAACGATGTCGCAAAATAATAATTGTTTCTGGTGCAAGTAACCACTTGGAAGAAATAACGGCAAGAAAGTGATTTTTTGCAGCTGAAATAAATGCAAGGCGCTTAAAACTACTTCCGGCCCTTCATTCCTCGCGCGGCTGGATAGCGCATATTTCTTGCGTCGCTTGCTTTGCAGTACAAGAAAACGTAGTAAACTCGGAAGAAGCCATCTACTGAAAACTAAAATGATTTTTAGCAAAAAACCATACTTTTTTATGTCAGAATACATATTCATTGTTTTCATAAAAACGTATCTAAATCCACCCCCGAGAAACATTCAGCATAAGTTTTTCTATCGTAAAAATACCCTACAAATCATATCATGTATTTACATGCGTAGTAAAATTGATGTCAATAAGTGATTGCATACGTACTGCATTTTATTGTGTGCAGTAACATATGTACGTATCTTCTCCTTGAGATGTCATTCTTTATCCAATTTAATACTTTACTTTGTCACCCGACCCAAGTAGTCGAGTTACGTTGCGTTACGTCACATCCCTTGTTTCCGGGAATAAAGGAAAAGAAAACGGAGTCGCAAAAGAATAAAAAAAGGGTTGTAGCTTGATCTGAATAAATTTGTGTCGGGGAAGAAGAAACGCCCGAGGAAAGTGGGAATAATGATGTATCTAAATGTATTCTGGAGGAAGACAAGGCTCAATTTTACTTACATGACTTTACCAGAGGCCGGTTATGTATTCAAATATTTTCAACTGTATTATTTAATGACGACGAACAGTCAAACGTTGTCGGTGTGTTGTCAAAATTGAAACTTACAAGGGAACATACCGAGGTGTCCAACGAGTTAAGGGTCGACACCTATACCAAAATGACCACAATACATGACTTGTTGAACAAACTGAAGGAATTTCCGTGTAAAATTCACTTTTCGTCAAGTTGTGACGACATTTGTGACGAGCGCATGACCATCCGGTTGCCAGTGGGAGAGGTCGGCCGCTGAACGATCAGGTCGAAGAGAACAGAGAAGCGTCGTCGTCATCAGAGATTTCAAATTCTTTCAAATTTTGAAAACATCTTGAAATTTTGAAAACATTTTGAGAAAATTTTGAAATTTTGAGAAAATGTTGAAATTTTGAGAAAATTTTGAAATTTTGAGAAAATGTTAAAATTTTGAGAAAATTTTGAAATTTTGAGAAAATTTTGAAATTTTGAAGAAATTTTTGAAATTTTGAAGAAATTTCAAATTTTTTTCAAAATTTGAAAGAATTTGAAATCTCTGATGACGACGACGCTTCTCTGTGACCTGATCGTTCAGCGGCTGACCTCTCCCACTGGCAACCGGATGGTCATGCGCTCGTCACAAATGTCGTCACAACTTGACAAAAAGTGAATTTTACACGGAAATTCCTTCAGTTTGTTTAACAAGTCATGTGTTGCGGTCATTTTGGTATAGGTGTCGACCCTTAACTCGTTGGACACCTCGGTATGTTCCCTTGTTAGATCACAAAAATTTCAAAATATGAATATTTTGAAATATTTATTAGATTTCTAGGTTTTGCGAAAAATATATTTCTCGGTTTCTACATATTTCTAGATTTTGAAAAAAAGCTATTATTTAAAATTTAAAAAATACATAAATTTTACTACAGTACACTCGCAGTATTTAATTTCAGAGATCGGTTATATATGTATTATTATTCTCACCTTTTTCAATTGATATCGACCGACTATAAAATTTTGTTGGTATATGTTCCCTAACTCACTCAAAATTTCAAATTTTTTTTTTACATATTGTCACATATTTCTAGATTTTCGAGATTAAAATTCGAAATTGATGATAAATGAATAAAAATTGGGTATGTAAGAATTAGGGGACAATTTTGTTATAAGTGAAATAACAAATTTTCACGGCAAGAAAATAAAAATTGGTAGATTTGAACGCCAAAAAATGGGAAATTATCAATATAAGTTTAGCCAATGAAATGAAAGGTTTTTTCAAATTTGTCTTGTAAGTAGAAACAGAGGACGGTTAAGGATTTATTATTCTCAGCTTTTTAAATTGATGCAGACCTACAGTCAAGCTTTCTAAGTAAATATGCTCCCTAACTCGCATAAATTTCGAAATATTTCCACACATTGTTACATATTTCCAGGTTTTCAGACATATTTCTAAATATTCCCGTTATTATTTGAAAAATACTTGAATCTTGTACAAATTCTATTTCTAAATATTCCCGTTATTATTTAAAAAATACTTGAATCTCTTACATACATATTTTTTCAAATATACAAATATTTTGGCTATTTTTCCCCATAACTATTAAATCCATATTTCACCTTTGTTCCTTTCTAAATACATATCCGCTCTCTGCTCATGATGTAGCTAGAGAAATGTATTCTGTCGGAAGAGAAGGCTCAATTTTGCTTACAACTTACATATCGTGCATGACTTCATACATGCTCGGCCCGATTTACATATGTACCTAAGATACGTGCCGGGAAGGATTCATTTTTTACATTTTAAGTATTTTCTTTTCCTTCTTTCTTTACTCTTCTTTTCATCCAGTTAAAAAGATTTGCTTTGCTTGACTTGCCCCGAATTAAGGCTAACCTGATCCCCACCTCTCCTCCTCACTTTTATTTATTTCATTTCTTGGAAAAAATTGGATTCCGACAGCCTACTGGATACTAATTTTTTTGAATTATTAACTATATTTAAACAATTATTGTATATAAAAAAAACATTCCTTTACACGATTCACTTGCCATTTTTTCAAAATAGATTTCCTCCAAAAATTAATTGTCTAGTTTTTCAAAAATTAACACTTTACATTACCGCGTGAAAAGTGCATTTATCTGAAATTGATGGAATTTTAGAAATTTTAATTTAGAGACGCTTAATACGAGTAGAAAAATGAGATTAAAAATCAACTCAGGAATTATTCCTCTAATTAAACAAAACTTCACATTTTGCAGCTCAAAAATTGTGCAATTATGACGTCTGATTTAGGAATAAAGGAATTTAGGATAAAGGAATTAGATAAATATTTCCCGTTTTAGATAAATATTTCCCATTTTAGATAAACATTTCCCATTTTAGATAAATATTTCCCATTTTAGATAAATATTTCCCGTTTTAGATAAACTTGTTTGCAAGCGCGAAATTCAAAGATGATCTTCACCTCTTCCCACTTTTATCTAATTTCTTGAAAAAAATTGGATTCCGACAGCCTACAGGAAACCTTATTTTTTTGAATTACTAAATATATTTAAACAATTATTATAAAAAATCCTTTACCCGATTCCGAGTCACTTGTCATTTTTTCATAATAAATTTCCCCGAATTTTTTAACTCGATGGTTTTGTAATACCAAAAATTAGCCTTAATAATAACACTGAAAAGTTTCATTTACGTGAAAACTCGTGAAATATAGAAATTTGTATGTAAAGTCGGGTATAAAAAAAGTGTGAATAAAAATCAATTCGGGAGTTATTCCTTCGTAATTAAACAAAATCACATTTTATTTTTTTTAATGTGTAATTTTAACGTCAGAATTCCTTAATAACTAAATTAACTTAACAAATAAACATATCCTTTAGGTAGATTTGTTTCCAAACTTGAAATTCAATATTTTTCCTAGTTATTAATTATCCAACCCAAACAAAATAATAATTATAACAACGCAGTTATTCCGCCTTAAAAATGCTACCCTACGAAAGAAAAACAAGAGCTGAAGATAGCATCGCATTTTACAAACTTTCTCCTTCTTTTTCATCCCACCAAAAGACCTCGACGACCCTGATGACGCAAATCATTTCATTCTAATTCACATACCAGCGGCACAAGAAAATCCACAATTTGCATTGCAAATCGCTCCCGTTCTCTCTCTCGGCATGAATTTTAATCCACTTTTTAAAAAAAGAGAAAGCAAGCGAAGAAACGCAGTCAAAATTTAACCAAGTCTCATCCTCATCCCTCCAACACTCTAAATAAAGTTTTATAAAATTTTCGCCAGGATGAGTAGAATGACAACAATTATGTAAAATTTATCCATCGTTGTGGAAAATTGGTCCAACTTCTTGTAAAATTTGTCCCACTTTTTCTAAAATTTGTCCCACTTTTTCTAAAATTTGTCCCACTTTTTCTAAAATTTGTCCCACTTTTTTGTAACATTTTTCTCTACGTTGGACAAATTTTGTAAAAAAGTTGAACACATTTTACAAGAAGTTGGACAAAATTTTGCACAACTTTGGACAAATTTTACATCATTCTTTATTTTATTCGACCACTTTGTCTAAATTTCACACAACTTTATTTGCCCTGCATTATATAACCTTTCCCCAGAAATATTTCGATTTTTTTGGGCACACTTCCAGCCTTTAATTTTAACTCCAGAGTTTTATTTTATGTTTACGCGGAGATTGGACAATTTGTAGGAGAGAATGAAATGAAATGCAATCCAGTGCAGTGCAATGAAATGAATGGGTCGTGAGTTAATTTAGATTAGGTGCGATGAATGAGCCAGCTCGATCAGCTCTCTAGCGATTCCTCCTAATTTATTGCACACGGAGTAAGCAAACTCTATTATTTGTACATCCAATCCACACCCAACCAACGGAAGGCTATAAGGTGAGAGAAAGCTTGAAGTTAACTTACACCCATTTGTTCCCTGTATTTTCCTGCCTTTTCCTGCCACCAATTACGTATCGAAGGCAGTATCCGAGGGGAAACTTATTGCCTCACTAAATACATTATTCTCCAATTTTGGGAACAAATTTGACAAAATTTCGGGGCAATTTTTCACTCAATTTTTCTCATAGAATAAATGCTTTTTCGATCCTTTCCTAATTTTTAATTCGACGCTTGTCAAACAAATTTCATGAGGTATTATTATTAACTTAAATTATAATGCA